ATAGCCTTTGTTTATTTACGTGTTTCTTTTCCTTTCATTATTCTAACATTTTATGTTAGTGATTGTAGCAGCAAAAAGGTAAATTTAGAAGCCTTCACCGAACTCCTAAAATTACAGCTTTTTAAAGCAGATTCCCTGATGGCCTATAGATAGTTACAGGAGACTCAGCCCCTAAAGGGTACCTTTATCAGGCTTCAGGTATATCAAAGGGTAGGGAATTGAAGAGTTGAAGTATATGAAAGAGCAGGAAAATCTATCATTTAAGTTTTTTAAAACAGGTTCCCTTACTTGTGTAAATTAAGACTGTAGTTGTTCAGAATAGTGATTATATCATATCAGCAAAAAAATGCATTTTCCATCGATTCACTCAACAGGTATTTGTCGCAACTGCCGGGTTAATCTTGACATGCAGAAAATAGGGGAGCTGCCCACAAAGCTTCTGGAGACCAAGAATCTTTCTTACGAGGAAACTGAGACTATTGAGACTTCTGTAAGTTCTGAACTGGCACTCAATGGAAATAGTGTTATTAACAATAGCACCAAACAAGGCCCGCGGGGCAAAAAAGATAAAAAAATTTTAAAAAAATGGATAGGGACCTTATCATCACAAAGTCTGCATGAGCAGACAATAGGGATAGAGAGCACAAATTAACCGATTTCGTAGACCTCAGACTGTGTGCTGGTATCCAAGAAAACAATGCCATATGCTTATTTTGTGCCTTCTACGTCAGTTTTTCCTGAGTTCCGCAGATAATGAAGAGGTTTAATACCCCGTGCATTTTATGTCGCCCTTGCGTCTGCACACAGTTTAAATTTATTCAGCGGATTTTCTATTTTTATTCTGACCAAAATCTGAGAACTTGAAGCAGTGGCAACAAGTTAAAGACCACGTAGTCTGCGATGGTAAGCTGAGGCCAAATTGTTCTTTTAAGAATAAAGGGTTCATTAAAAAAAAAACTGCATTTTTGCTTAGGGTTTAGGGTTAGGGTTAGGGTTAGGGTTAGGGTTTAGGGTTGTCTAGGGCGTGATGTGTAACCTTCGAATTGCTGCAAGTACTCCTTGTTCGGTGGTAGCAGATGACTTACTAGAGCAAGAAACGTCATTATATTTGAGATAGATAGATAGATAGTTTATTATCAAATAAAATCCAATACAGTCATAGGCTGGATTGCGTGCTTTTCACAATCATTGATTATACAAGACTATATAAGACTACCTATTACAAAAATGCTATGACCTAAATAAAATTACTAATATAACTAATATAGCTAATATACAGCAGTGGAATAGCTAAAAATCTAGGTTAGCACACGCGCACATAGCCGGGATAAATGAAAATTTAAAACGGTTAGTGCGAAAGCGCGGCATGTTAAAAACGCGCCGGTGTCTAGTATTGTAAGCTGAAAAATGCCTATCTGGCAGCAAATTATATAATTTGTGAGATGGATTTTAGACAGACAAAAACAGATCCGTACATAATTTCATGCGTCTGTCATAGAGCGAAGCTAAACCGTGCCTGTCTAACGAGTCATGGTATGACAGTTCTGGTGAATGATGGATAATGCGCGTCTTTGGACCCTTTCAATGTCATCACTAAGATACGCAGGTAACGCATGATGGAATATTTGTGCGCAGTATTCAGGAACAGGACGTATTGTTGTACAATGAAAATTAATTATGTCATCCGCTGGAACGCGGGCTCTCTTTAGGAGGACTAACCATCAACCCTCCTAGAAGAAACCGAGACAAGCGCTACAGGAATGAAGTCGGAAGAACCTATTGACCCCCATAACAGTTTCTTAAGAAGTCGAGACGTTAGTCCTATTAGGTACACCCTAAAGACACCTTGGAACGATGCCAGTGGAAGGACTAGACGACTGCATGAGCGCAAAGCCAAGCAAGCGGTTTCAGCTGTTCTTGGTGAAATAGCGCCTAATGATCCAGATCTTCTCTAGGAATCTATTATGTCCTCAAAACAAAATGAAACTGGAAATCACACTTGTTCTAGTGGTTTGGATAAAGAATTGATGTACACGCTAGCAAACTGCTACAAAAATGCAAACGAAAGGGAAAGCAAAATTAGCGCATTTCCTAGACTTTATCACAAGCTGCCATGTAATTCAAGACCTTCCATTCGGAGCCAAGACAATAACATTGTCAACTAACGAGGTCATCCAAGTTCCAAATGTGGTACGGAACATGATACCCGATCGAATCGTTTGCTAGTACTAAAAACACCCATGAGTCGCAGTACACTGCTAAGAATTCTGCATATTTGTTCCGCTTCGACTCGCAAGTCATTGCAAGGGTTAGATTACGTAAGCTGTT